CTAAACTTCCTTTAACTAAAATATATTTGCAATAAAATAACTTCGTAGAAATGTGAAGTATGTTAATGTAATTATATAATGTGGAATGTAAAAATTTATGTAAATGAGTATGCACTAAAAATGCTGCCACAAAAAAGCTCGATTACTTATTAATATTTGTAAATGTTCCTTTTCAAATACAAAGTACATTAATTTTGTTGATTGTTGTGCAGTCGTTCAAACATATTTCAATCAATATACTATCAAATTCCCCTGGTATACAGTTGAAACACTACGCTATCTTCTCGTCCGATTTAGGCAATTCCTTTAGCAAGACAACAACATGTTCTCGGGCTTGTGATTGGTCGTCTCACGGATATGTCAAGCAATGTCCGCAAGAATGCCATTATATACCTGAAAGAATATCTCATGTCTAATGCTTTTGGATCACAGGTATACGCAGCTCTTCTCCCAGGCTGCTCGGATTTTTGTCCTCGCTCGATCCATGCTTTTCTGTTCCTTGTCATATCCACCGTCAGTTCCTTAAATGAGTAGATCTTCCTTACACAGCCCATCCAGTCTTTCTTCGGTCTCCTTTGTCCACTGTTTCCATTTTTATCTCCATAATGTGTCAGATGACTGGCTTTTCCCGATCTCTTCTTACTACACGCCCATACCATGTCAACCTTTGTGCTTCCCTCATCTTCTCTGCAATGTCAACCACTCCACAAGAGTGGAGGTTCAATCTGAGCTTCCCTCGAGTGTCAATGCTGTTTTTGAATAGCTGAAGGGTTAATGTCGCAACTTACTCTATGACTACTCACCCTCCAACCTTTCAAAAACATCATTGACACTCAAGGGAAGCTCAGATTGGACATCCACTCTTTGAGTATGAGTGTGCTTTCAGAATACAGGCTTAAAACTAGTGTATCTGTCTTTATTAATACATTACAGAATAATTGAACTCATAAATGTATGATGATCAGGACATTACTGAATTACTGATCATACCTCGCGGGGTACAGGTTCTGTAATTATAGAAAGACGTTTTTTGAATTCCAGTTTCCTCTTGCGGAAGTGAAAAAGAAATTGCAAGAAGAGAAGGAAAAGTTAAGAAAGATGGATCCTCACGCAGTTGACGAGGATGATCAAGGTATTTAACAACGTTTGGGTAAGATTGGGCAGGATATTCAGAATTATCTGCCGAAGGCCGAGGCGATGAATAACGTATGGATATCCTGCGTAAGCCAATGTTTTATTATTCGTTTTGTGACGGTAACAAATAAACGCTATCCGTTGTGAAAAATTCAACCAAACAATCTCCTACGTATTTCTAAATTCACGCAAAATACCAATGGAATTTCTCGGGCTCCATCCGAAAACCTCCATAGATATCTGTTTCCGCTATGAATATAGCGCGGACACCTGCAAATATCTACAATTCAGTCAATCCTGAACTATGAGCTTTTAGCCTGCTTCAAGCCAGATTTGGCCCTTCAACAATTTATGATTTTCTGTTATGTTGCGTATAGCCGAAGAGGCCGTTAACTCCGCGGAGGCCGTTAATCCCGCAGATCTCAAACGTTGGATGGAACTGGAGAGTGATATCAAGAGGGTAATTGAGGATCACTGGGAAGTCGAGGACATTGTCGATGAAGATGGGGAACATGTTGAGTTTCAAGGAGATGTCAACGAAGCTCGAGAATAGTAAGCATTTGACTAACGATACTTTCTGCCTTCAGCTGTAATGGGGGCACAAAGGTTATCTGCCTTTCAAATCTGTCACCGGGGTTCTGTAGCTTTGATCAGGGATGGATACAGTCAGATCT